CTCAGTCATGGTGGATTGTTGCTAGCCAACTCTTGCAAAAAAAAAGATCCACAAAAATAAAAGTCTGTGCATGATAATAATAACTGAAAAAAATACACAAATCAGGTTTAGACTGTACCAGTCCCACAACTTGTCAGTGTGGAAATGTTCCTTGCTCAGTATGTATGTATAGTCAGAATGTCTTTATTTAGTTATTGTTGGTAATTTGGGGGATTTTCTGGGGACTGATGACTCTGTCAATCAGGAGCTGCACATTCAGTGAAATACCTGAAAGGAAGCCACCTCATGTCTGAAAGGAGGGGCATCGTTAGCATCAAGGTCAGCGATCGAAACTCTCCCCATAGCAACGACACCTACTTCATTTGTTGCGCATAACGAGCCATTACAGAAACATGTAATCAATTATTTATTGCTGTGGAACAAATACGCATCATAGTTTAAATCAATTCAGTACAATTTACCTCAAGAAATTGTTTAAAGTAGCAAAGGACAGAAATAAGAACACAGGTCTCAAAAAACAGAGGATGAGGCAACGACGTAACAGTATTAAATAGTCTGAATGTTTAGAAAAGTATAACGTGCATGCCTGGATATTGTGGACGGGCCTTATGAGACCCAAAGACTGAGGGTTTCATTTGTGTTAATGGATGCCTACCAGCAAACAGAAAGGATAAACATTTATGAACCTCAGAAACACATGAAATAATAATAACTGACAATGTTTTGGCTCTGGGGAGTCAGCACACTCAGTATTCACAGCTGGTAATTGCAGTTTGCTTCTTGATTTACTGCTTTATCAGTGAGCCCGACTTTGAGGCTGTACATTCAGCGATAATACCGGCAAAGTGACTCCCAGAGGTTTCTGAGGCACCTGATTACACACACCAATCTCAAGAAAGCAACAGCAATTCATTTTTCATCAGGGAACTAAGAATCTGGCAGCTGCCATTTTACTTCCAAAGCAGAAATTGTGCCTGTGAATCTCTGTCTTTGAATATAAGTTTGTATGTTAGGCACATTTATGCAACCCCCCCCCCCCAAAAAAAACCCCTAACAAAAACCATCAAATTTCTCTTCTTTTTTCTTCCCTTTGTACATTTACAAGGCAGTGTTGAAATAGAAACATAGTGGCTGAAAGGCAAAATGGACAAGCATTGTAATGCTCAGGCAGCGTGTCCTCAGTTTGAGACAAGGACCATCAGTAAAGCCATCAGCAAGGCCACCATATTGGACCCTGAGGCCACAGGGGATGAGCAGGGACCGGTAAAGGTTCGGCTGAGACACGCTTGAATGGTGCGCACTCTCATTTGCTTTATTGCCACAGTCATTATCTCTGATTCCTCGAGGCTCTTTCTGTCTCTGCGCTCAGGTTTTCCCACTGGTACCAAGGGAAGACGAGGATGATGTCAAGTATGTTCGCTCTCATCGTATGAAAATAGAGATTTCAGGCCATTTTCTGGGGACTCGGTGGAGGAAAGCAGGATGGAGGAGATAACTGTTCATGAGTTGAGAGAAAAACTGTGGTGCAGGAATTTTTAAATTGCTGAATTAAATAAAAAGATTTTTTTCTTTTGCTTTTCATATATACACAGTTGAGTCAACCTTGCTGTTTTGTTATAAGGATGATTAAATAACGTCTTCCTTCTCCAGTCTTACTATGATGATGGTCTCCAGGACTCTCACCTTGATTGGGACTCGCGTGGGTCAGAGGACAGAGACGACACTGTGGTTCCCGCTGCTCCAAAAGTGCCATGTGCTCTTTATCATGAATCATAAGATAGTAATGCAATCGAAGCTAAAATGCAGTCACGTAGAATTCAGAATGCTGAATATTAGCCTATAAATGACAAATAATGAAGATCATCTTGTGTTGATGTCTGTATATAAGCTTTAATGCTCAGAATTACTAGTGACCTCATGTGGTGTTGAATTTCCAATATGGAAATAATTCATTAAGCTCCAAAAGTGCACAAATTGATTTTATTATTAGTGTTAATTTGCTTCACGACTGAACAGACAAGTCTCAGTTTCAGCCACTAAAGCTCTGTAAGCTTGTGTCTTCCAGCCAGACACAAGCTCAGTAATTTCCTGCACTCCTTGTTTTTGCTGCATCCAAATGTGATGTCTTGATTCACCCTTTAAACAACCTCTCTCCCCCCACCCTGTCCCTTCTCCTTTCTCTCTTTCATTTGTTAGAAACACACAGCAGTGGCACAATAAAATCACCTGTCACCGCAGTGAAAATAAAGCGCGATGGCTGCTGGGCTGGGTGCCAATGCATTTATTATTGTTTTTCTTGTGATTCAGTGGCATTCAGACTCATGTGCACATATATTATACATATATTCAACAGATTTTTATTGGACACAATAGCTATGGATCTATGACATTTAAGTGCATTTGGATTCGTCTTACCTAAACTCATGTGAGCTTAGGAGGAATCCTACTAACAATACTGTTTTGGAATTATGCTTTCATTGCACTGCTACTGCAGGAAATTCCCAAGAAAGCTAAATCACAACCACATGACAATTATCTTGGTCTGGCATCACAGTCAGACAACATTCCCTACTGACTGGTTATCAGATGAGCTGCACTTATATGTGGCGTCCTCATGATCTAGGCTGCATCCGTTATCTGCATGCGAGTCTTTAAGCGACGTACCGATGGAGCAATGGAAGCAGAAGGCGTAGAAAAAGGCTGAAAGGAGCAGGACAAAGACCACGCAAAAAATGACCACAATCAGGAGGGTGGATCCTTCTATGTGAAAGCGCTCACGTGGCAGAAGTGCTGTGGTGGTCAGGAGGCTGAAAGCTGTCGGGCTCGCGTCAAAACTGGGATGGGCAGTGAGTGTTGGGAAGGGCGGCTTCATGGAAGACAGGTAGGCGTCTTCTGGCATGATGGATATGTTCCGTCAGTGGGTTTTGGAAGGTTTTGTTGTGGCCTTAAACAAACCAACCAACAAACAAACAACAAGACATTTTAACTAGCGTAAAATGAATCCAAGTGGAGTTTAAAAGCAAGATAAGCGTACAGTATAGCCAACCTGTTGAAAAGACAACATTTGGCAATAGAAACAGTTATTTTGAATCTCTATTAATGTAATGACATTTTGTAAATTGTTAACCCTTTCAAATGTAAACATTAGCTTTGTGTTCTGTATTTTTAAACTGGCAGGTTAATGAACACACAGACAACCAAACACAGAAAAAGTTTTTTGATTCCTACCTGCAGTGTGTAGTTGCAGTGTTGTGGTCCAGTTTCTGTGCAGGATTCAGGATTTCCTTGGTAAAGGAGGTAAGGCAAGCTTTGGGGAAATGAAAGAAATGAAGGACGGGAGAGAGAGAAAGAGAGAAAGGGCTATACCGAGGAAGAGCGGTGGCTGCTTCTGGACCAGGGATAACAGGGATGGTTGCTATGGCAACACTTGCCAAGGGGCTACTTGCATGAGAGTGACATCATGTCTCTTGAAGATTAAAACACGTTTTATTGTATAGAAATTAGGAGATTTTTACATTTTAAACAATCCAGAGGTAAAGCCACTAAATTGTTGCCCAGTAACCTGAATGAAATACATAATTTATTTTGTATTTACAGAAAGCAATAAAAGCATATGCTCAATCACACTTGACCTTTCAAACAGCAAACAAAATCAGAGGAATTAGAGAGTGTCAGATCACTTCTGTGCAAATAGAGGACTCCCCGTCTGCCACAAGAGTGATCCGACCCTCTAATGCTGCCACCTGTGGGCGAAAGAAGGAACACTGAAAAGTCCATTGCAAACCTCATTTCTCCACCAAAGACTGTACATGAAAAGAACTCAACGCCCTCCCAGCCCCTGCACTGTCTGGTCCCTTTCAGACTGCCATAAGGTTCTTTAGTACAACTTGTAATTGGTCCCACACACCCCTGCTGTGCTCCCTCAAAAGACATTGAATGTTTTAAGGCTTGCTCCAGTATTAGTCACCATGGAGATGACTCACTTAATCAGCCAACATCTAGCGTTTTGTTAACACTTACCAAGTAAACAAACATACATTTAATTTTTCAGAACTACTCAAAAATGTCAGACTAAAAAAAAAAAAAAAAAAAAAAGGGGTGGGTGGGGGATATTAATTTGCATAATTTAATGCAGAGCAGAACACACGGAGTAAAGCCTGCCAGCTGATGTGATTTTAGAGTGCTTTCAGATGGCTAATTGCAGCTCCAAACAATAGAAACAAAAGATCCATTAAATCCAACTGCAGCAAAAGCGGGGCCAAAATGGCTGAATAGAGGACTTAGCTTACACCAAGGTCAGCGTAAAGGACAAATATGTGGAGAATGACCACAGGGGCAACTGCTCGAGTACCAGGACAGATTAACTGATTCAGGAAGTACCTTTTTTTTACACATCTCAAGACAGAACTTGAATAGTAGATGAGACTATATGCATTTCTGCTTGAACGCCGTGCATTCACAGCTGGATGTGAGATGTGTCATATGACCAACCACCACCGTTAGAGCAGCTAGACAGGTCGCACGCTAATGCAAAAGTCTTGGAATTAACATAGAAAACATCTGAAGAAAAAGAATCCCTGCTGAAAATGTAGACAACCCCTCTCTGTGTAATTTCCTTCTCTCTGTTGTTCCGCTGTGACTCAAAGATTTGATATCTTCTTCTGCCACGCAATGTGAGTGTGTAATTGTAAACCCTCTTCCCTCCAACTTCTCGCTTTTCAATGAGCCCCTCACTCACTGTACGGTGTAAGTGCTTGTCATCGTAGAGTGGAAATAAAAGCAAGATGACAGCTGAGCAGGGGCAGATCAGCTCGTTATTGTTCCTCTTGTCACTCAGGAGATGATTTACAGTCACATTTGTGTGTTTCTGTCACTGACAGCTATTATCTGACCCGTAAATGCGGCTGCCTTTATTGTCTGTGCATGCATGTATTCGTGCTTGGACAATCTGATTACTGATGGCTACATTTGATTTGAAAACAAGGAAACACAATGGCAGAAATGACTAATTGTTTTATTTGTTAAAAATCTCATGACACATACATTACACTCACACTGAGCTGGTGTTTGTGTAACTGACAGACCACTACATAACTACACACTCAGCTTTTCCTTCCCCCAAGAAAGCACACAGTTTGAAGAGACGAGGATAAAAGAGGGAACAAAAATATATTTTTTAAGGACGGAAGAATGACCAATGTATGCCTAATTGACTTACTGGGGCTAAAATGTGTCTTTATATTGGCTAATTTTGCATAAAAATGTCAGAAATTGTAAAAACAAACTTGTTTTTTAAATCTGTAAGGGGAGCTGAATCTGTTATAAGTGAAGTCTGGAGATATTACATGAAACATATATATTTTTTAAAATTCCCTTATGTGATCTCTGCACTGTTTCACTCCGATCGGTTTTGCTTGGGATGATGATTCACTTCTTCTTATTCACAATGTTGTTACAAATCCAGTCCATCCCATCCTAATGGAGAAATGAAGACAAAAGAAAATGATCCAAACGATCCAAGCATGGAAAACAACACAAAACCATCAAATTAATCACGTTAAAGACTTCACTGAAAGAAACAGGGTCTCTGTTTCAATTGATTGTGGGCCCAGTGAATAAAGGAGGGACATGCAAAGCATTTGTTGCCAATTAGATTCCATCTGAGGGAGAAATCAATAAATCAAAGTCAGGTCTGACCTGAACTCCCTCGCCAGAAACAGCAGAGCAGGCCTGAATCTGCCACTCGCGGTCCCGGTACGTGTGCAGGTTGAGCCCCTCGGCGATCTCGCTGGCCGGTGATGCTGTGGCCAGATCCTGCTTATTGGCAAAGATGAGCAGCGGAACGCCTTTCAAATTATCCTCGTCAGTCAGCTCGGACAGCTCCTGCACATACACACATGGGTGCAACTTTTGATTCTATTTTGTGCACAATAGCATTACCGTTAGTAATAAGGCTGTTAGTAAAAGGGTTTAGACACTCACCAGCCCCGTCTCTTCAAAACGCTTCTTGTCCGCACTGTCAATAACATAAATCTAAAAGAAGAGACATGTTACAGTGTTAGCACATCCACATTTTCTGAAAGTTTACATTTTATTATCTGCAAATTATTGTTAAAAAATACTAGAGAAGAATGTGGTCACATCATGTCCAAAACATCTTTAAAGAAGTGTTTAATCTCTGCTTATATGTGGGATAGTGTCCTGAGGGTTAAAAAGATATTAAAATAACATAAAACTTCTCTACTTTACTGTGTTATTGATTTAAAATGGCTTAAAGTGACCTACTCACCAACAAGTCTGTGTTTTCCAGATACTTTTTCCAGAAGGGCCTGATCTTTCTTTGTCCTCCGATGTCCCAAACGTTAAGTTTCATCCCATGGGAGGCAACACTCTTTATGTTGAAGCCCTTAAGAAAAAACACAGCACCTAGAGTCACTGCCCTGCCTTCAATTTAAAAGCTGTTTCCACCTGATAAGGTAATTCATGAAGTGTCACTGTACTTGATCAGTGGTTACACTCAGTTGTTTATAAGGATATGGTTGCTCTTCATAACACAACACCTCTGTTTCAGTTGGCAAAGTTGTATAACAACTTTATCCCGAGGGCCATCCGAGGAGCAAATCTGAGGATAAGACTCGAAGGATCAAGGTAAGTGTATGTGTTCATGTGTCACGTCTGATTTAGCTTTGTGTCGACTATTGCCATACTGGACTGCGTCCTCCCTCCCTGGTGTCTGATGAGCTTTCACACTTGCCCAGGACTGGACCTGGCAGTACATCAACTCAGTGTTGGCTTGTCTCGGTAGAGTAATACAAGGTCATTAGATAACGACATTAGAGCTTAGATAAATACATCAGAGGGAGATGAGAGAAAAAAAGAGAAAAGGAGAGAGAGAAGCAGTCATAACGACAACCAGGATGTTCTCAGAAAATGTGTGGAGAGCATGCAAATCAACAAGGTCATGTCGGGCTACAGTTTATCTCGCGATGAAGGGTTATTTAACAGTGTAACAGCGTGATCTGACAAATCTGGTTAAAGCATGTGTGGTGTGAGGCCAATGATTGCATTTTACTGTGTGGGTCAGGAAAACAAGGGTCATCTGAGTCTCATTACTTCAAATGTGCTCTGATTTAGCAGATATTGCAAGGTTAGACACGATCCTCTCACCTGTTATGATGCTTGGCTACAGTATCATGAAAATACAAACCATCTTCCAATGTTTTGTATTTTTAATTACATTTTATTACATTTATTACATTATATTTAGTATTCAGAAGAGCTTTAATGGTAAACTGCTTATTAACAAAGTATTGATGGAAAACTGCTCACAGATGGACCTTTTTTCACTTGATATACATATAATAATGAACATTGACTGTTTATGTTAAAATTGAATTGATTTAAACAAGGAGATGAAAACACAATGATCAGCATGTGTTCTAATGTTATAGAGCGGATGCACACTGCTTTTTGAACACATAACTTCCTCTCACCTGCGTTGGCGTGATAGTGTTCACATCCTCAGAGGCGAGGCTTTTCAGCAGGGTGGTCTTGCCAGCGTTGTCCAATCCTAGAAGCACTATCCTGACCTCCTGCTCTGTGGATCCCTTCAGTTTCTCTATGACAGAGAGTAAGCCCTGTGGAGAGGCATGGGGGCAGGAGGGGCAGGCAGAGCAATAAGGCAAAGAAACTGTCAAGCATCGACTCCTTCAGAACTGAATAATAATTAAATGAAAGCATAAAGCCAGCCAACTTTGTATGTAAATGTGAGTAATTAATACAGTCAGGTTATTGAGAACTAAACACAATCTGAGAGTGCATCTTTAGCCTGGGCCAATGAACTGCTTTGTAATTTAAAAGAAAGTAATCCAGACTAAAGTCTAATGGCTTATTCCTTATTCTCCTTTTTCTTCTTTATTTTTACGAAGTTTGTGAAAATTCAGCTCTGTAGTCTTTACATAATCCTTCTGAAAAACAGGAACCAAATGGCAGCCGTCACATTATTTTGTCCCAGCCCTAACCTTTGGAGGCAAACAGAAAATACTTATGTACAATGCATCCTTTTTTCTTGGGTGCATTGTTTCTCTCATAAAAAACAACAACACTAATCACACTATTACTATCCAAAAAACAAAATTACATGAATAGACAAAAATAGCTTTAGCCTCTCAAAACAAAATCCCACTGACCTCTTTCTGATTTGAGGTCAAAGTTCCCCTCACAGAGGCCTACTTGTTTTTGTTCCTGAGTTTTTGAAAAGACTGTATTGCTACCACAGACACCCTGTGAGGATCACTGTGTTGCTTTATTTAGAGAAGCACTGGTGTAAAAAATAGCTCCATTCATATAGCTGTACATTAATGTGATTAGTCTGCAGGGTTGCACAACTGCAGACAGTGCAGCAAGGCTGCCATATTGTTGACTACAGGCACCATAGTTTTCAACATTTCATTTGCATTTCTGGTTAACTGTACAATAAAGAGATTCCATTCCATTCCAAGAGATTCAGGAGTAAAATTTTAGTTACTGTTCTGTATTAACACAAGGAGTTCAGATAATCCATCGTGTCTGTGAGCTGCAAAGACACACAACACAACCGCAAAATACTTTATGTCTCATAGCCCACTGTTCAGGTCACAGCTACTTGTAAAACCTCTTTTTATGCAGACTCATAAGGTTAGCATTTGCGTTTGTAAGTCTTGCTGCTCCAAATCAGGTCACCTACCTTTTGAGCTTCTCCCATGTTGGTGTGTTTCCTGTGGCGTGGCTGGAGGGCTACAGCTCCATTCTCCAGTGAAGCTCACACACAGGTGTGTTAGCTATCCAGTCACCCAGCTATCCAGGAAAGGGACCAGCAGCCTCTGTCTTTTTCCCTTCCTTCTCAGAAAACCTGGGTGGGTTACGTGATGCGTTTATGTGATAGTAATGTCTACCTGGACATGAACTGCTCCTCAATGTAACTGTAGAGTTACAAGAAGGAAGAGAGGCAGGGCGTATGGGACTGGGATTAAGAGGCCAGAATTAGCCCTAGGCATCCATGCAAAGGCAACCCCATCCCCCTCCTCCCCCTTCCTCTGTCCATCCCTCCGTCTCCACTTTGCAGTGGCTTTACCTGGATTATCCCTTAGCCACCTGTTATAGAAGGAAACTGAATAAACAGTCCTTCCTGACCCACTCATACATGCGGATAAATAAGTTTTTGCCATATGGCCGGGAGGGGAACCCCCCCAAAACACTGCTAATGCCAGGCACTCTGGCAGCATGAAGACCGAGCTTAACACTTAAACTTCAAATCATTGCATCCTGACATTGAATCGAGGCACCTAACGCTATTACTATGTTCATAAGTCAATCTTCAAATCCCACATTCATCCCTCTCATGGATAGGAGTAGACAGCATTACACTCCCATATATCCATTACATGCAAGCCACTGTAAAGCTGAGCAGTGTGCGCCACTGTGAGTGGAGCATTCAGCAGGATTAGTGCGAGGATGCCAATCCTGTGTGTGGATTAAAACATTTCTAGGTTCTTTTTTTTAAAAACTGAGCAAACTAACAGAAATGCAACACTACATTGTGGAAAAGTGTGACTTTAACTGATTAAACACGCACACATGCACTCAAAAACAGAGATTAAAGAGTATTTATTCAATTTGTGAGCATTCAAAAGTCTGAAATATCAAAAAGATAAATATATATTATGTTGCATAAGATCAGAATTTATTATATTAAAATATGATAGAATGTTTTATTTTTAGGACTCTCTGGGTGTGACAGGATATGGCCCACCAGCAGCCTGTCCAGCCTGTCTCTGTCTCACCCTCTCCCTGTGTTTATCTGCAGAGAGAGAGCATTCAAATCAGTCAGATGTGTCATTCTGAGTTCTGATGTGTAGATAGATTCAAGATCATCAACAATATTGTTCAAAGTTGTAACTGAAGGCACCAGCCTGTTAGCTTAGCCTCGCACAATTACTTGTAATGCGGCAAAAACAGCCTGTTTTCACCCAGACATTCATAATAAGCATCAAAATGTCTTGTATTTTATTGATAGTCATGTCATGATAGTTAAGTTAGTTAAAACTAGAAAAACTTCTTTCTTTCTTTCTTTCTTTCTTTCTTTCTTTCTTTCTTTCTTTCTTTCTTTCTTTCTTTCTTTCTTTCTTTCTTATTGTTGTCTAATACCACAGACATCTTAAAATGAGCTCTTACCACTGTCTCTTTTCAGTTTACACTTCATAATCAGTCCCATAATCAAAACAAGGGCCAAAGCTGCAACACCACAGACCACCAAGATGATCACAGTGTTGTCTGGACAATGACACACACATAGACAAATACACAGGAAGTGAAGACACATGGTATCAAGGGCTGTTGATAGCATGCCATTATACACATTTCTAAAATCATAACATATAACAGAAGTATACAGATGGATGGACTTACTTTTTACAGACAGTTTGTATGGTTTAGAATCACAACAGTAATGGGAGCAGTTTACTGAGCAGATGTATGTGTCAGAAATTGAAAGGGCACTTTGGATAAGAAAGGTCTTATTATTTTCTTTTTGTTCGACCGCATTATTTTTCTTCCACTCAAATGTCACAGTTGAATTTCCACATTTTTCATTGCATGTGAGAGTGACGTCGTCACCCTCATTTGGGCTGGATGGCTCGCTGCTGATGAACACTTCATCTGATGGGCAGAGTAAACATGAAAAGCGAGGAAAGCAACAATAAATAATGTTAGGTAATTAGAGTGTGCTCTGTTGTAATCCATTGCTTCAGACAAAGGTATTCTCAAATGTTACATTCAGTGCATTGTTTAAATGTTGCTCCTAAAGAGAAAAAAAATGAAGAAGAATGAACACTGTCACATTCAGCATTATTAAAAAAATGAAATTTAAACGTAATCTGGTCGACTTTCTTTACTCTTAAAGATTTAATTTTAGAGATACACAATTATCAAAGAAAAAAAAAAGCTTATCAATATTTAATTTATATTTCATTTTAGTGTCAGACACAACCTTAGGCTGTTATCACACCTCTCTACCAGTTGCAGTCTATTCAAGTTCACAGGATTTATAAAAAACAAACAAACAAAACAAATAAAAACAAAGTGAGGACTAACCATTACACAAAGTGCTGTTTTCACATTTCGCATAAGTATCTATGAGAAAAACAGATGAAAAAAAATAACGTCAGGAACATTTTTCCAATGCATCTCATTTTGCATTTTATTGGCAGGCAATGTTCAGGCACATTAGCTGCGACATGACATTTCCAGATGTACAATTTTCCTTTTCCCCCATCTGCCATAGTTTACCCTGTGATGGTACATTTCAAAAACTCAACAGTAACACAGGCAGTCAGTACCAGCTACGATATCAGAATATAGAGCGAATTATTTAGAGCTAAACTGGCACATATACAAACAGAGAACAAGAAAATATAGACATATATACATAAATGTAGGTGAGTGCTTACCAGAGAGGAGATAACCAAGCATGAGATAAATGATAAGCATTCTCTACTAGAACAGACTGGATTCACAACCGTTAAGAACAGTCTGAGAAATTAATGTCATTAATATCTAAAAAAAAAAAAAGAGCATATAGAAAAATAGGAAGAACAAGTTTCATAGCAATGAAATACTTTAAAACTTTTAGACAAAGCATTAAATATATTTTTAAAGTTATACATATAATATGTAATGCTCTTACCTGGATTGCCTCTGACACACAGACCAGAGTGATGACCCGCTCTGCTTTGCTTAACTGAATAGTCTTTGCATCAGAAGAGGCACGGCAAAACTGATTCTAAACACTGATAGCAATGCAAATATATTCATCCCTGGAATATTATAGCATGAACAAAGCAGCTGTTTGTTGTGAAGGTGCATGTGACGACAGCGATGACGGTAAAGCCGCCGCCGCTGCTTTCATGTAACATTGAGTGACGTTTAGGTCAAAATGATGAGATTTCTTCAGCTCTGATCAAAACACCCAAAACATAAGGACACATGCTGAGAGATGGAGCTGTGCTCTAATATAGCCTGTTATCAGGGAAACATTGGTTTACTTAGGCAAACTACCCTCTGCCTCTGTGCACACAGTTTATTATGACACATACTAAGATGAACTTTTCTAAGAATTTGGAAGAATAAATCCAAAATGATTTAGTTTAAAAGGCACCTCAAAAATACATTACTGCCTTTTACTGAAATCATGCATTACTTTAAACAGTGACTTATTCAAACAGTGGCCACTAGAGAGTGCTGCTCATCACCAAATCGTATTCATTTTTTTCTGAAGGGCTCCCGTGCAGCTAAATGGTCTACCATTGCCAAAACATGTTACACACTGCTAAAGCTAAATGCTTTACAGCACATTCAGAGACTGAATTGAATAAAACCTCTGTTTTGGAAAATGCATGCATACAAACCCACACACACACACACTGGACATGCAAACTCCACACAGAAATAGAATGACTGGCTTTGCATTCAAATTCTCTCTGGGCCACCTTAACCAAAGTGACCAGATGGTAAATAAGATGAATATGGTTGAGTAATGTGGCCCGTTGCTGTTTACATTCAATTTGTTTAGTCAGCTTAACGTTAATCAAAAATTTCCCTTACTGTGGCCAGTCTCGATAGATACCTAAACTCATCAAACACAACAACAGAAAACAATAGTTCACGGAATGATGACACAAGGCTGCAATTTTGCTATTCCATTTGCCATCAAGCTCTTTATAGTTGCTGATAAGAAATAACAATGAAACGGATTAAGCCACACTCTAATTTTCTTGGCCTTGTACCAAGTGATTAAAGAGAAAACTGACTTGTTAAAAGGAAGCGATGTAGGAGAATGTGAGCAAACTGGTATTTTCCCAGATGTGCTCAGGCTGCTATTTGTGCAAAGTGAGTCCATTCTACATGGACCTCAACAACCTTTCAAATCAAACAGCTTTGGAAATAGTTTTAAATGAATTTACAACTGTTTTTGAGGCAAATATCAGCCTGCAATCTGTGCTCATTAAAGCACTTAAGCAGCTCTAGTTAAAGTCGTAACTTTCTGTTTTTGAGTGTAAATTCAGGAAGCGTTACAAACTAACCTTTGTTTCCTCTGCTTATAAATTGCATAGTGAGACCACTTGGCTTTAGAAATGTGTACGTTTCCTTTCAGTTTTAATTCTTCCACCAATCAGTTTCACTTAATACATCTCTACTGAAGTTGATCCTTTGCTTTTTATATACTACACATTCACTTAACATGCTTAACGTGATCAAGCTACTGTATAATCCTCAACATTAACATGGTACTTCGGGAAAATTATCTATCTATCTATCTATCTATCTATCTATCTATCTATCTATCACTGGCTGCCTAATGATTCATACACTGACGGCCTACGACATCCTGTAGCGTTTCACAAAAATGCCCTGTGGGACCAGGAGGTGCCAAATGCATGAAATATGCATGAAATTCTCGTGCTAGTTAGTGTAGCATGTTTTTTTTTTTTGTATCAATATTGTCTCTTTTATTATATAGCATATATGCTAACATGTTGAGTTGTTTTTCGATAAACCACTCTCATGAGTTTTGCAAAACACTTAAGTGAATAGTTTTTTTCATGTTATTGTAGCATTTAATGTGTTAATTTAACAGCACTACTAAAACATTACAACTCAAATGTACTATTAGCTACTAAGTACTAATAATTAGTATAGCTAAGTACTATCAATTAGTATGGCTAATGTGATATCATAGCTAAGTAAAACAAATTCCAAGCTGCCAAAAAACTATCCCGGGGTAGAGGGCCGCCGATTGTCCAGGGCTGCTTGTGAGCATGTCAGGGCTTAATTAGTTGTTAAGTAGCACCCAATTGGCTGTAGAAAACATTTATACAGTCACGGTAGCGCCTGGCTAATATTGTCTACACTGTGTTCTGTTCTGTATTTTCTAGTATCGTGAACCATGGTTACTTTCAGCGGAGTGTATAACAGGTTTTCTCGCCTGGCAAAAGTTGCAGCCCAAAAGCAGCAACGGAAATATAACAAACTGTGCGCCATAGCCAGCAACATCTTGGGCAACAACAAGAAGGTATGCCACATACAGTGTGAGCTTTCGGTGCATGTGTGACTGTGCAGTTTTAGCCTGAGCGTTATCTTGAGTCATCTGTTTGCAATAGCGAGAGAGTGGTACTGTGATGATTTTTATCTCTTATCATTTCATTTGAATCTGCGCAAAGCCATGTAACGAGTTTTGCTTTCAGATGATCCAGAAACGTGTTAAATGATACCATATAGCAAAATTGGGCTTATAGCAAAGAAAGGCTTCTTTCACGAGGCCCGTTTGAAGGGTAAGACTTGAAATGTGTGTGCTTTAGGCCGCAATGAGTTAAAAGTAAAACCGACAGATTCTGAAACTAAGGTCTAACACTAAATCTGCAAAATTGTCATGTTTATTTAGAAAGATAGAAAGCCAAAATAACCAAGCGTTTCATTGACTGCGCATAAAAAAGCAGAATGACAGTCTGGCTGCCTGTGTACCCACATCACAGTGTTTCTCAAGATGTAGGCTGAGAGCAGTTTGATCATAGTAACCATACTTCCTCTTTTGTGGCTTGTTGCTATGGTAAGACTTCCCTTCCAGGCAGGAAGTGACAGGAAGACCCAAGTGATGAGTTTTGTGTGTGAGTGTGTAAGGAGTGTGCATCAAGTTTGGGTGGAGCACTCTGCTGCGTCCCCTGACAGTGTGCACATCGTAGGACTTCAGCTCTGAAACTGGTGTCTGGGCCATCATGGCGAAGAACAGCAATTCTTTAGAGATCCCTATTGGCCACATGGTGAGTTGGCACCATTCTTGTTAGGTCTTACTTGGTTCTGTGGCCGTCCTTTGGGTAGTAGTTCTTTGATACGCTTGTTACGTATACGATAGGAGGCTTTGACCGGCCTCCCACAGTGACTAGTCAAGGCATTTTAGTGTTGAGTGTGTTGACTACGCTTCTTGTAGCTGTGCAGGCACTCTAAATCTCCCTGTATGCTGTTTTGATCTGCTTTTTAACGGTGCTGTTACTATTAAGCTGACTTCCAATCCAGAGTATCAAGAGTACGGTTTGAGCAGTTGTCTCGTGCTGGCTTGTGTTTTGCCTCCAGTCTTTGATAGTGCCAGAATCAGCCTGTGTGGCTACACTTGGTTGCTACTGAGAACAGGCTGGGCCATTCTGAGCCAGAAGGAGAAACTGAGCCATGCCTGTTGTCCAATCTGTCATGTGTAGGCTGAGTTGGCTTCAGTGTTCTCGGTGTGAGACCATTGCATTTCTTGAAATGGTTCAGTTCTGCCAAAAAAAGGTGTGAAAATGTATCAACGGATATTAAGTCACAAGAGCAGGATGTTGCCGTAGTCTTAAAAGAAGGGGCTTTCTGTGGCTTGCGTTTGATGTCTGCATTTTGATATCGCTCCTTTAATAGATTTTTCAGAGTTAAAAGTGCATTTTACGAGAATGCAAGGTTTACAGCTAAGACAGTGACGAATCGATTGTTTTCATTAGTGTTTAGAAAATGTACTATTGACTATGAAAGCAGTATTTGCATAGCAGAGCAAATAACTGAAGAGGTGGAGTCAGAGAGACTCACACCTGCAGAGATAGACAGCCCATTTCAACCGTATATGGTCAAAATGTAACAATAGACAGGGGCTGTTGTCAAGATCAGTTATTTTTGGTTACAACAATGCACTCTCTGCTTAGAGTGCGTCGATTTATAGATATATCTATATAGATGTATAGATTTATCTCAAATGTAAGCTTGTAGCAAATGTCAAGCATAAAAGGATACAGTGACGTATTAGGAAAAATAAAATGCTAATTTTTTATTGTATCGACACATGAGGAGCTCTACAGCGAAACCCATTGATTCTGTTTTGGGAATTGAGCAAACTGACCTTTGATTAGTGGATGATTTTCTCCTCTTCCTCAGCCTGTGTTGCCTTGGTTATGTATCTGAATTTCACTTTAACTATACAATGTAGATGACCAGTTTGGTTTGTGTTGCACTAATGTAGCTGGGTTACTTTGCAAATTGTGCCTTGCAGGACTTCCTAATCAGAGCTAGTTTTAGGATGACAAATAACTTTATCTAGTTATCTATATCCAGTTATATCCAAAGTAATCTATTCATAAAAAGTTAAATGCTCTACTTTAAAAGCAACAGTTACTGTGCAGGGTTGTGAAGATATTTGCCTTTTTCTGTAATGTAAAGGATTCCGTTACATTAGTATTATCAGTTAAAAACAATGTGTACTGTTGCTTAATCTTGCATTGATTAAAATGGCACTCACAGCTGTCAGTTCTGAAAATGGTACTTTATTTATAAGACCTATATCCTCCACACACTCTGGGCAAGTTGCTACCACACAGACTATACAGACATGTAGACACACACACATTCACACCTTTGGGCAATTTTAGAATCAGAGCCCACACGTCTGTGAACTGTGGGAGGAAACCAGAGCATGAAGAGGAAACCTTGACAAAGCTCATAAATGTATCCATTGACGGTCTCCTATGGATTAAAACCAAAAATTCTGCTGTGAGCTAATTTGCTGCTGTTTAAACAATATTTCCATAAGCTGAAGCTTTTCTGTGTATACGTCAGATCAGTATCTTGGTGACTTGAAAACATGTTTGTGATCACAGCTTGTAGGTTACAGGTGTTTAAATAGTCTGCAGATTTCATTCAGTTTCTGTAAAAAAAAAAATGTGTCGGTTGAAGCGAACATTTACAAGATGTGCATTTTG